ATTTTAACCTCCACCCATCCTGTCATGATTTTCATGCTGGTGCCCCAGGATCCTGCTTGAGACAGACAGCCCAGGAGTAGCTGGGGTCACAGGGTTTTCCATTTCCTTCTTGATAGCATCAAGGGAGCTATTCTCCTCTGCCACAAAGTTGGCCTCGCTGTCCAATCATTGACCCTATTGTCTCAATCACTCTTCCCAAAGGTGCTAAGGTTCAGGGAGCTGGCTTCGGGTTGAATAGTGGTCAGCTGGGGCTGGGCTGTGCTTGCTGTAGATACTCCAAAACATAATGGAGATGTTTATCACTCAGGCAACATGCAGAAATGAAGGGTTTATCTGGATTTCTGAGAATATCTAGAGATTCTTTTATTTTGTTGCTGTTAATCCTCACTTGAGGGTATTTTTTCTTTTATTTTCAGAGAGAGTGGAAGAGAGAGGGAAAGACAGAGAGAAATATCGATGTGAGAGAAACACATTGATTGGTTACCTCCTGCATGCACCCCGACCAGGGCCCAGACTGGGAAGGAGCCTGCAACCAAGGTACATGCCCTTGACTGGAATCACACCCAGGACCCTTTGGTCCACAGGCCGATGCTCCATTCACTGAGCCAAACTGGCTAGGGCTAGAGATTCTTGAATATCCTACAGATTACGTGAAGAGGCTCAAACATTAAAAAGGGCTGTTTCTGCCCAACCAGTGTGGCTCAGTGGCTGAGCATCGACCCATGAACCAGGAGGTCATGATTTGATTCTTGCTCAGGGCACATGCCTGGTTGCTGGCTCGATCCCCAGTGTGGGGCCTGCAGGAGGCAGTTGATCAATGATTCTTATCATTGTTGTTTCTCCCTCTCCCTTCCTCTCTCTGAAATCAATAAAAATATATATATTTTAAAAAGGGCTGTTTCATCCTAGACAAGCATGATGTGAGTATATATTACAGTTCTCATGACACTTGGCTCCACTCATTTTACTGGTAGGAAAACTAAGATGCATCAAGTAACTTATGACTCAAACAGTGTATGAGTCTCTTTAATTGCATGCCAAGGACTAGAACCTGTGGCTCCCAGCCTGTGCTCCATCTGCCGGGTCTCACTGCTTTCTTGCCCCTTGGCAGAGAGATTTCCTAAGAATTCAGTGGGGTGAGTGCAGTGAGAAGGAAAGGGAGCATGTAGATTGGCCCCTCATTCCTGTCCACCAAAGCCTCCCTTTACCCCATCTGACCAGGGTGCTTGCAGTGCGCCCACTGTCTTAGGTTACTGTTGCCTGAAAAATTAACGGCGTTGCTGCTGACCCCTCTGCTTCCTCGCACCTTGAGTTTAGTCTCAGAGCAGCCTTTGCTCTGGGTCCACCCCCTGTCCCCGCTTGTCCCTCATTCCCAAGGGTGTCGCTCACCTCTTCAGGATGATGTTTGGCACTGAAGATGGTCTGTTCCACGTCTGGCTCTGCCCCCGGTGCCATTTGACGCGGGCCATGAGGAGGATGTTGGGAAGGGGCAGGCAGGGCACGGAGGAGGTCACCCCGAGGGCCATGGTGTAGGAGGCTTTGTAGATGTTGATCCAGTTCCTGTCCTTTTTGACCTGCAAAGCAGCCCCATGGGCACAGCCTGAGATTTGGCAGAAGGAGCAACACATCTCAGCTGAGAGTTTCCCAACTTCGGCAATATTCGCATTGCGGGCAGGGTAATGCTTCGTTTGGGGGAGGGGCTGCCCTGTGTACTGCAGGGTGTTTAGCAGCATCCTCGGCCTCCACTTGCTAGATGCCAGTAGCACAGCGCCCCACCCCACCCAAGTAGTGACAACCAAAAATGTCTCCAGACTCAGCCAAATGTGCCCTGGTTTTAGAAGGCAAATCATCGCTAGGGGAGAACCACCGTTTTAAACCAATGTTGGAGAAACAACTGTAATCGTATTGACACTACCTACTGTTAGCATCTGCCCACGAGAACTATCACCCAGGAGTTCCCTGGCGTGTGGCACATTTCTGTGGATCCTCCCTAGACTGTTTCCTGGCTTTTCTTTGAAAAATGTCCTTTGGCCCTTCTCTGAGGGGCCCTAGAGTCTCCTGCACCTTCCCTGCTCTGTAAGGTCCCTCGATATTCCCAGGCGCTGAGAAGAGAGCCCAGGCCGGACACAAAAGTGCATTGAGTGCCCCTGTACCGAGGCCTTTGCTGCCTGTGTGTGCAGACAAGCCTCGTGCCGTTCGACCCCTTTTACACTAGAGGACCCTGGGATTCAGGGTTGCAGGTCGCTTGCACAGTGATGCCTCCTGGACTGCACTCTGAGCCCAGGACTCTCTGGGGCCCAGCTTTTGTTCTCTCATCAATCAGCATTTCTGTTCCACACCCTCAAAGGGCATCTTGTTTCACTGCCTCTCTGATCGCCTGCTTTGGGCTTCCTGGGGGAGGAAATAAACTGGGGGATTCAGATACCAAATCCTCCACTCAGCGCAGAGAACGAGAACGCCTGGCCTCTATCCCCCGGGGATGACAACTGACGGCAGGGGAAGCCCTGCCTGGGGCTCTGCAAAGTCAGGGTCAAGTGGAGGTGGCCTTGTATTCCAGGCCCCCTGACCGCTCCTTGCCCCAGCGCTCGCTCCACTCCCGTTCCAGGGACAGACTCTCCTGGCCAGCTCTTGGGAACAGGTTTAGGAGGATCGAGGAGTGCCCGCTGAGTGACTCCGGAGTACCTGGACAAAGTTGCTTTCAAACACCACGGAGTCAGGGAACAGGTTGAATTCTGGAGAGTGAACCATCTGGCAGAGCAGTCCCTCCTCCACACCCAGGCCCACTCCGGGGGTTGGTTCTCCATCCACAGGCAAGAGGCCCCTGAATTCTTCCCAAGCGTTCAGGGAAGAGAAAGTTGGGTAGGATCTTGTGACTTTTACTGCTTTCGATTTCCACCAAGTCTTTCTAGGTGGAGCTGATGACAACATTTCCGCACATGCTCAGGGGCTTGCTGCACATTTGTCCTGGAACCTCTCTCTGCCCTTCTGGCCTTGGGCAGCAGGCCAGGGCCTGGGACCGCCAATCAGCTCACAATGATGAATGGATGACATCATGAAAAACCAGGGCAAGCCTGCAGGAAAGGGAAGTGCGGAGGAGCCGCCCTCTTCCTCCAGAGCGCTCTGCTGGCTGCTTATGCCCTGACATTCTCCAGCCCTTCTTGGAACCCGAGGACCCCCAGAGCTTGCTGAGAAGGAAGTGAGCCAGGCAGAAGGGAGGGAGGGAGGTAGTGAGCTGAGAAGGAAGTGAGCCAAGCGGAAGTTGGGGAGCTCCTTCCACTGCTCAGAGGAAAATACCTTCCCTGCCTTTCAACCCTCCCTTACTCTTAATGCAACCCACCTGCCAAAGAGTTTTAAGAGCCGTTTCTGTAAAACCCAGCCTTCCCATGCTTTACATGATGTGGGCCCCCACACGCCCTGGTGTATCTGCGGTAGCCTTTTCTGGTTATGAAGGGAGTTGTTGGTGCCTCTCTGTGCTCTGCTATGGCTGGCTAGGTCCCTTAGGAGGTCAAACTGAAGGAGCAGTAGAAGGCATTAGTTTCTTACCCACAGGCCGGCTTTGTGAGGGTGCCAGCTGGGAGGAATAGAACCCCGATGAGCAGCTCTGCGGGATCAACAAGCCATTCCCCCTCTCAGAGTGACAGTGTTCCTCAGTCCTGGGCCAGAGGAAGAAAGAGCCCAAGTCCTGGGGTGGCTAGATCAGGGGCAAAGAACCAAGCTGACTGACCACTATTGAAGTCCATCTCAGGGAGAAACCGTACTCTAATTTGGACAAAATATCAGGATGTATTAAGTAATGGATTGATCATAGAGGTCAAATGTGATAAATTCAGAAAAGCAATTTGACAACCAATAGGTGCGATGCACAAGCTTTAAGATGTATTTTGTATTTCATTATTAAGTCATCTGATTCTATCAGTCCCTCACTTGGTCATTTCTTTTTTTTTTTTTTAAATATATTTTATTGATTTTTTACAGAGAGGAAGTGAGAGATATAGAAAGTTTGAAACATCGATGAGAGAGAAACATTGATCAGCTGCCTCCTGCACATCTCCTACCAGGGATGTGCCCGCAACCAGGTACATGCCCTTGACCGGAATCGAACCTGGGACCCTTCAGTCCGCAAGCCAACACTCTATCCACTGAGCCAAACCGGTTCGGCTGGTCATTTCTTTTTTAAAAACATGTTTTGATTGATTTCAGAGAGGAGGGGAGAGGAAGAGAGAGATAGAAACATCATTGACAAGAGAGAATCATTGATCGGCTGCCTCCTGCACACCCCCTTACTGGGGATTGAGCCCACAACCCAGGCATGTGCCCTTGACCAGCATCGAACCCAGGAGCCTTCAGTCCGCAGGCGACGCTTATATTCACTGAGCCAAATGGGCTAGGGCAGTCATTTCTACTGTGCCCCTGCTCAAGCACCTGTACTAGCTCCCTGGTGGGTAAAGCAACTTCTGCACTCGTTCCTCATTTCCTTTGGTTGACCATGCGGGGAAATGTCCTCCATGGTAACGTTCTCTAAGGATGAGGCAGAGATTACGTACTGTGGTTTACATTTTCTTAGAAAGACACAGTACAAAAAGTAATGGCAATTAATACATTGATATAATGTTTTTCACAGTTAAAGCTTACCCACAACAGGAAAGCTTATTGGCGTAGATATGTGATTTAGATATATTTGGCCATTGAACATTCAAAAGTTCTCTTCCGTTGGGAAAATGTCTCTCTCCCTTTTCCATATAATCCTATCGAACCCACTTTGCAGTGTGTGGAGGAAGGCTTTCTCTAGCACCAAGTCTAGAAAGCTAAGGTGAGGGGGTGGGCTCTTCACTCTAAACAAAATACTAGGCAGTGATAGAAATGGTGCTTTAAGATGTCTACCCCTTCTACCTGCTCCACCAAACCTCAAAAACTAGCACACTGCATCCTTTAAAAAAACATTTGAAAAATACTTAATTGTACATCCTATTATCCACTGTCTCCATTCCTTCACTAATAGAATTTCTCACTGGGCACAATTTTTCAGAATAAAGGTGATTATTCCGGGTCTCCCTTCCAGCTAGGTAAGGCCACATGACTATGTTCTGGCAAAAATGGTGCAAGCTCCAGTGTTAGGTGCAGTTGATGTAAGGAATCATTGTAGGAAGGGGACGTGCTCTTATTCACACCTTGCTTTTTCCTTTTGGCTGGAGTACAAACTTGAGGGCTGGAGCTTGAGCAGCCCTTTGGTCATGAAGCAGTATGCTAAGGAAGGTAGCAGAGCAAGATACAAGGGCTCCAGTTCTCTGATGATCATAAAACTATGATACTAGTCTGAATAAGATAAATTAGGATTTTCTGTTATATTGAGCCGGACTTCAAACCAGCTGATACAACTACATAAAACTACTATCTACTCTTCTGGACCAATTTTACAGGAAATGATGGTACTATTTATCAATAATTCCAAGCAATGAAGAAATTATGGTTAATTTATGAGAAAGTAGGACCTTAAGAATGACAGAGTTATAGCTTCTGGAGAAAGTTGTATATTTTCCAACGACAGGAGAGACTCGTTGCTTTCCTCTTCCTGTGTATTCAGTGATGTTGATGCTACCACAATTCTTGCCTTTTGCACATTTTGGTGATGAGCACTTTGGTGACTATACATTGGTTTGAGGCTAAAGTCACTTTGGCCTTCTCAGGTATCATTTCAATTGCTCAGGAGTGACCAGGATATCTGTTTGTCAGTTGGGACTGGACCCAGGTTTTGTGTTTAAAGCTGATGCAATTTTGGAGATTATTAAAAATAAAAAGACTGGCCCTGGCTGGGTGGGTCAGTTGGTTATATTGAGCCAGACTTCAAACCAGCGGATACAACTACATACATCAAAAGGTTGCAGGTTTGCTTCCTGGTCAGGGCACATACCTAAGTTGTGGGTTCGCTCCCTAGCGGGGGTGCGTATGCGAGGCAACCAACCAATGTTCCTCTCTTACATCAACATCTCTCTCTCTCTCTTTCACTTCCTCTCTCTCTAAAAATCAATAAAAAGATATCCTCAGGTGAGTATTTAAAGAAGATAATAATAAAAATAAAGACTGGAGAGAGGGAAGTATTAAGAGTTGTTTAATGGGTACAGAGTTTCAGTTTGGAAAGATGACAAAGTCCTGGAAATGGGTGGTAATGATGGCTGCACAACAATGTGAATGTACATAATGCTACTGAAGTGTAAACCTAAAAATGATTAAAATAGTACATTTTACATGATGTATATTTTACCACAATAAAAAATGGTGGAACGTAAAAAAAATCAAAATTTAAAAATCCCACAACGTAGGACAAAAAGCTGGCCCTTGGAAGGGCCCATGGGACTATGGGGCCCTGAAACTTAAGTTTTATGATCTTCATGGCAAAGCTGTCCCATTTAAATCTGTGTCACTATTTTAAAAAACTTTGTTACATAAGGAGAACATGTGCTTTGTAGAACATTAGAAAATACAGACAAGTTCAAAAAATTAAACAGCATATTCCTACCTTCCAGAAAACATGACTGTAATAACTACCTACGCATGTGTACCAATATGGATCATACTCTAAAAAAATTTTTATAACCTATTTTATTCAGTCAACACTCTCTACATTTGTGTTTTGGTGTATTTTCATCTCATGTGATTTCCAGGCCATACCAAAATTTGTCAAATTAGCTCCAATTATTCTTATATTTGCTTTATCCAAATCCGTATCCAATCCAGGACCACAGTTCCCCATGTTTATTTTGATCTAGTACAGTCCTTTTTTAGGATCCCTACCAGTGGAAGCAATTGAGTCCCTTGTCCTACAGAATGACTCACCTTCTGGATTTGTCTGGCTATTTCCTGGTGGTATTTATCTTGCTTCTTTAGCAACTATATTTCCTGTGAAATAGAAGTTATATGTAAAGGGCTGGTGGATTCAGATATTGGGTTGTTTTTTTTTTCATTAAAATCATCAAGATTTCTTAGTATGGTGCTACTATGGGATCCCAAAGAATTTCAGTAGGAAAATACTTATAAAGAATACATATCAGAAGAAATACGATTTCAAGAAATAGAATAAAGTCTTTGAAAAGCATCTTTTCTGTGCCCTCAAGGAAATTAAATACAACTTGAGGCCTTAGGAAACAACAACAAAAAATCAGAGATATCAAAATCAGATGAAAAGAGACTTGGGACTATAAGGAAAGAAACAGAAGAAAAACCCACTAAATGTCTAAAAGTCACATTAGAATCCACAAGTAGTAAGAGTTGACATGACAGAAAGCTGAATCAGTGACATGGATAACAGGCTGGAGCCTAGCACACAGAACACAGTGAAGGACAAGGAGATGACATCACTGGATGGATAATGGTGAATCCGTAAGACATTTCTGTTGACCCAACAGACAGGTTGAGTCCCTGATGAAGAGGAAACAAATGGAATCGGAAAGGTAGTCAAACACATAAAAGAAAAAGCAATTTCTGAAACAAAAAGACTCGATTTGGCAAATGAATAGAATTTACTATATTCCAGGTAAACTGAACAAAGAAACCATTGAGACCAGAATATGTCTTGTAAAGTTCCTAAGTCTTAGAGATAACAAAAGCACCTTACTACGAACATCCAGATAGAGGAAGCAGATAATCTACCGGGGGAATAAAATGCGACTGGCCTCAGACTTCTTTTCAGCAGTTTTAGGCTGCATAAGACAATGGAACAATGTAGAGAGAATGTTGCAGAGGAAAGGATGTGACCCAATAATTCCATAAATGGCTAGAGATTTATTCAAGGATGAAAGTAGCAAGACTAATCTTAAAACTCTAAGTACACTAAGATGAGTAAATCTATAAGCTGGTTCTTTGAAAAAAAAAAGTTAGACAAAGCACTAGCTAACAGTTTAATTTTTGAAAAGGAAAACATACAATTTGAAATAAGAAAACACAAGTGCAAATAACAAGGAAGTATAGGTTTCTGGGTATA